ACAAACATGTGAGCATATGTGAACTAAGGAGGAAGGACCGACAATTTGGATTCTGCCAATTACTTGATGGGCACGATCCTTTGCAGCAAAAACGTTGTGAATTTACTGACGTCGACTTCGACAGTTTGGATACCAAAAAGTACAACATCCACTTCGGACACACACACACACATATGCAGGGATAAAACGAACATTGATCTGCTATAGGCTGGAAATGAAGTGCTCATCAATAAATCCTCCATGAAATCTGCCAAATATATCATCCACTATGAATTTGATAATTCAGAATAGATCCAATCAATCTCGCACTAAATTGCCATGTCACAAAAAGAAGGAGAGCAAAACACCTTTTTGAACACTTGTGCACTGTCTGACATTCGACATTTGACCACACGCCATAGCCGTCCCGGGTGAAGTGTGGCTCATAGAAACCCAGTTTGAGGAAAAACAGGCCATCTTTAAAGCAACCCATTGCAAGAAAGATATGATGCTGTGCAAGATGACATGTCGGACCTTTCGTTTGAAAGGACCTGAAAGGACATTGAAGCAAGTGGGCCCATTCTCCACTTCCACGAGAAGAATTCGGGACTGCTTTGCTGTCTCCCCCAACCTGGGTCCCTTCCTGAGGTCCACATCACTATGCTGGAGGCTGGCTTTCAACAAAATATGGCCTCTCCAGTGTCCCAGAACCCACCACTGGGATCATTGCCATGCCGTACACGATGGAAGAACGCACAACCCGACTAAGTACTTCCGGCGCCGCTGATATAGCATGGCTTCACACATGTATATATTACTGTAGTATATGCATGTCATATTCATATACTCTTCAATAACCTAGGATTGATCCATCGAGCTTCTGCAAGGACTCTGCGAGAGTGACTTCTAGGACACATGGACTGAAGCCTCATGCATTGACATCGGAACACTTGAAGCGGAGCACTCGCTCAGGTCGTTGCTGCGCTTTGCGAATTCAGTTGCGACGGTCGTCGCCGAATCACTGAAAAAGACTTGAAACACGATCTATGAGCAAAGTTATAAGGATGGTGGCATTCAGGTCCTGCCGGCAGCAAACATGCGAAAACCTTCAAACAAGTGCATAGAGTCACACAGTACATCGCCACCAATGTCTGTGGTATATATATATAACTATATATATTTATATAAATCCAGGTTGGGGCGTAGGTTTGAGAAGCGACTCTTAACGACTCTTAACAAAGATGTTTGACCATCGCGGTTGATTCATCGGAAGAATGCCCTGCCTCGAAGGCCTCCGCACAGGTCTTTTTGTCCCAGATGTGACCGACAAGGATGCTTTGCATCCGGTGAAACGCCGCATTGAGCCGTCCGTTCCGTCAGGGGTTTGTCCATGCCCCAAGGTGACTTTTGGATTGGATGTACATGATTCTACTATGAGAGTCATTTAAACACACATTAAAACTATATAAAACTTAAGGGAAAACATGGGAAGATGATCCACTGATGTCGCAAAGTCGTCTGTCCCAACTACCCGGTTCTTCCTCTTCTTTGACCCAAAACCATGTCTTTTTTGGCTCATGGACCGCGAAGTGGTGCGGACCGCTCCGAGTTTTTGCTTCGACTGCGCGCGCTGGGCGAGGAGGCCGTGGAGAGGCTGGGCAAGCTGAAGGACGAGGGCCTCGCCACCGACTTCAACTGCGAAGTATACCCCCTTCAAGATACGGCCAGGACGGTTTTTCCAATTGTTTTTTCTAACCTGAAAAAGGACCCGTAACCTGGGGTTCCTATATAGTCGAACTTGGGTTCTTCAACCTCTGCTGGTTTGGGGGGAGCCATAATGAGGGCGTGTCTCTTTTTTGGCACGAGGCTGTTTTGGGAGCGGGGGAACTGCAAAAAGTTCAGCAAACCACGGGGTTGTGAGAAGTGAAACACAGGTCACCTGATCTGAGGTCTTTTCTCAGGTCCTTGGCATGCTGCCAAGGAGTTCCATCACTGATACCAAAGGGACTTGTTGAAGATCTGGAAGGAGGGCCAAGAATGGCCAAGAGGTTGTTGATTCTTTTTTAGCAACCTGACCAAACTCGAAGCGGTCTGGAATTTCATCGTACTGGCTATCTTTGGAAAAACCCTTCATCCCCATTCCATTCCAAAGGATTGGATCCTTGATTCGGGGAAAGTCTCCAAATAAAAGCACCCTGAGTCAGCTGTCCGGCTCCATCTGGAGTCCATCCCAGCTCCCCCAATGGCCGAACGACGTGAACCGTTCGTCGAGTTGCAGGTTGGGCGTACTCGCGGTCGAATCCACCTGGAAGGACATCGACATCGATCTGCGGCTGCGATGGGATTTTTGATGATTTTTGGGGTTTCGCCCTGAAACATTCCAGCCAATTCGATCGGGAAGGCAATTGAGCCATGGAATGGGTTTATGCCTGGTATAGAAGCTGGACTCCAAGAAAGTTACTGCTACACTGCTCTCGATGCCACACTCAGCTGGATGTGGAAGAACATCACCCAGGGACCTGTGGGGTTTAGTCCTGGTCCTGTTGTTCCTTTCACCCAAGATGTTTGTACCGAAGGACGTACCGTTCCCTATTGTTGAGCAAAGAGAACTCATTGGTTACTCTCTCCTCAAAAAGAACTCATCAAACCACACACCTGCCTACGTTGACCCTCTCAACAGAGTTGATCCATGGGACCACTACCGCCAATCAAACTCCCTGCGGAGGTGCGCACCTCCAGTCGGGAAGGAAGAGTTGGGAGACCATGGATCCTCATCCTCACTACTTACTCACAGACTACACCCACCTCAAGGTGAAGGTGGAAAACATAATCTAAAAATATGTACAATGGTCTTCCACTTTCTGTTTACCTCCATCTTGGCTCCCAAATATTCCAAAATCACATGACCCCCCCCAGTCCACCGAATCTCATCTGCCTGGCGTTCGTGAAGCCCGGCCCGGCCTTGGCATCCTTTGGCTTCGGTGTGCCCTCGACACGGAGCCGCTCTAGGAGCTGGTACAGCTGGCAGCAAAGCTCACGGTGGACCACCGTCCCTGGACGTACAGAAACACCGCGGTGGAGACGGTCCACACGGTGGAGACGGTCTATGCGGTGGAGGAAGAGTTGGGGTGAAAGTCCTGGACTTTCACACCCAAAAACACCCCAAAACACGAGACATGGGAATCTCTGCAGCCTTTTCGACCCCTTTTCAACCATCCCAAGGTATCCAAATATATGGCCTAAGATGGAGTGTCTTGCTCCACCTGGAGCTCTCCGTCGCACGCTCTGGCCCTGCCTTTCACGTTCTTCTCGTCTTTCAGCGCCTCCAGCGCACGCTCCAGCGGCCGGCGAAGTTGCTCCAGGAAGGCCTTCGCTTCAGCCTCGCGCGCCTCGCTGCGCGCCAAGCGGATGCTGAGATCGGTCAGCTGCCTGCCGCGTTTGATGCAAAACATGTGACATATTTGAGCGAGCTCCAGCGTGGAGCATTGGTGAGGAAGGAATAGGCCTGTGGGAAGGAATAGGCCCTGAAAGGACTTGGCAAGTCAATGAAACTGAAATGTTGTGTGAGCGAGCTCCAGGCATGCTCACAATCTATCGAGATGGCCACGGAACCAAACTGGAGACGACTGTCCGTGGCGGTCCGGCCTACACCGCTCGCTGTCGCTGGTCTTGGCTTCTGCCGGAGCCGCCTGCAGGCGACTGCGCAGTTGATGCAGGTGGAAGTTAGGGCACTTGGTGTCCCAAACGCGCCATGGAGGCACCAAAATGGCCAACATTCACCAAAAACTACACCAAATGTAGGCCTTTTTTTTGCATACATGGAGAGGCAGTTGCGACGATGTGTCTGTCAACATCCCAATCCTACCAGCCCCGAAGCGTCTTTCGACCAGTCACTTCACCAGCATGCATACAACCGAATCAAATCTGAAAATATTGGGGATAAACATATGGATAAACCAAACAGTGGGATAAACTGTTTTTGGGGATAAACCAAGCATATGGCAGTGCCATGCATAAATCTTCAACATATGGATAAACTGCTTTTTTTTGCATTGCACAAGCCAAAGCATGTCTCTCTGCCGCGGCCTGCAAATGGATAAACTAAAGATATGAAAACCAAACTGGCAGCCCTTTGTCAAGTCCTCTGCTTTGAAAGACTTCCATCTCAACTCATTTGACTCATTAAGGTCAAACTCGAGGTTGGAATCCTTGATGAGGGTCCTCTGCCTGCTACAGAACAAACGTATTGGGCAATTAAATCTGGCCATCAATGGCCTCCACTTGGTGGTTTTGGGTGGTTAATGCAGGCCAGATTGGCGCCAAGATGAAGCCTTTTGGGATATGTATTATTCAATATAATCGTCATACTTATTGTTTTCCTTTCTCCAGCGCCAAACACTTCTCCTCCTCTCTGAGAACACCCACCCTCATCGCATGGTGGATGAAGTTTACAGCGGCCTTGGATCTTGCCAGCTCTGCTTTCAGCACTGCCAGCTGTTGCTGGGCGTCCACCAGGGCCTCGGTCGCACCGCCGAGGCCGGGAACTGGGAAGCCGGAGCTCTGCTCGTGGCGCTGCTCTCGCAGCAGCTCCTGCTGGACGTTGGTTGACTGTTGGTTGACTGGGAATGGAGCTGCACAAGAATGGACCCCTTTGTGTCGACTCCCAACGACAGGTCGCCGGATGCTTCCTGTTGAAAAAAACCGATGGCTGGCTTAGAATGTATACGACAGGATCTGCGAGGATTTCATAGATCAGTTCTTCAAGCATCTTCGAGCATTCTTCAAGACATGTATAATCCATTCTCAAAGGTTACTGTAAGAGCTGACAATCCATCCTGAAGAGCGTGACGGCTTGACATAGCTTGATCATCATATACAGTATAAATTGGATTGGCAATCTGGATGTCTAACCTGCCACTGGCTGGAACACCGATGTCTGAGAAGTACCAACCAAAGTCACTGTCGCCAGGTCACTGTCTTGGAAGCCGCTGCATTTGCCACGGCATCATCTCGCTCTTGTGCTAACGCCTGGGACCGAGCGCTCCAGCGCCGGCACCCAAGACGGCGTTGAAGTCATGTACCTGGGGCCTGTCTAACCACCCAAAATTCATTGATTTGCTTGGTGGTTTCAACCAAAACAAATCTGAGTCTGCTTCCGTGATGTGAAATAACATCATCCCAAGGCCCAAGAATACGTTCTTCCATCTCCGAATAGGGGAAGAAGTCACAAACTTCTTTCTCACCCAGGCTATACGGTACAGTCGGGACTCCCGTTCCATTGAACGATTGGCCGGTCCGATGAGCGACCGCTGGTTCGGTCAATCCAAAGACCTTCCCAAGCGCCTGGGAGCCTTGTGATGTCAACTGGTGCCTTTTGTGATGCCAAACGGATGATCCTATCATATCCTGTCGTCTTGGAGAATTCCCCGGTACTGCACTACTTAGGACCTGTCCTTGTATTTTGAGGTCTCAGATTCTCACCTAAAACGAGACACACGCTAAGCTCCTTTCGACCATCAAACACCACCACCGAAGAGGTAGTCCAGTATTGAACCATTGGCCCAAGTTCATGGTGCCAACGGGAAAAGGTTCAAGTGCCACGTCTCCAAACACAATAATATTGACGTCCACTAATTACAAAATAATATATACAGTAACAATGACCATTACAACTTACAAGTGGCTGCAGAAAGAATGTGCTCATTGATCTCCGTTCTACCTGATGCTACATCACGTGGAGAAAAAACCCTTCCAATCCATCTGGAAGAAACTGCCACATTTGGACCATCTCGCTGCAGCTTTCGAAACGACACACCGGCGGAGAACCCCAAGCACCCTGCCACCCGCAGGATCCGGAACCGACCCCTACGCCCCCCTGAAACAGTTGAGCCGGCCTCCAAACGACCTGGGCTCGGGTTTCGTCAGTCGCAAGTCTGAAATGATCTGATATCCCCCAACCAAAATATCACACACACACACACACACTTAAACAGCTGGAGTCTGAAGTCTGAGTTTTGAAACCCTGCGATTGTTCGGCGCTTGCTGAACATGATGATTGAAAGGGGTCTAGCTCTGCTAGCTCTGCTAGCAGGCTTAGCGTCTGTCATCATGTCATCCGTTTGATGCAATGTTCGCAGCCAACAAAAAAGCGTCTTCCGTCCTCAAATCACGTTTTTACATCAGCAGGAATCTAGTGGAATCTAGCCTTGTCACCTGAAGAACTTCAGCTGTGGAATGAGGCTTTAGGGGTGCATCATGTGCATCTTCAATGTTTTCCGGTCCATCAACTCGTTGTAGCTGCACTCATGCAGCCAAGACCGTCAAACAAACGGAAGTCAAGTCGAAACACTGTCCAAGTCCAACCTTATTAAAGCCAACCTCATTATATAAAGTGTTGTTGGACAACCATGTTCTCTTTAGGACATGCGAACCCGTACCGAAAAAGGCTAAAGATAACTCCCAGTGCAGTGACTGGGCTCGTCGTATCTTCAATCAGACACTTGTCAGCCGATTCTCGGTGCAGGTGACCAAGCCAATCCAACACACCAAACGCAGCCTGTCGCCCGGAAAAACATACTCTCTGCGGGAGTGTAGGCCCATGTAGGTAAATATGGCAGTCCCATGGAGTGTTTGGGTATGCTTACAGGCCCAAACAACGGCCCAAACCAGGGAACTCCAATCCAACAAAGAACTTCTCCAATCGTGTGGATGATATCATTGTTGTTTTATTCATTGCTCCATCTCTCGAAGTTCGAGACTGTATGGGAAGCCCACCATCTTTGGGGTTCTGCCCGTGTAATTTCCCCAAATGGAATTTCCAGTTCAAACCGCCCAAAGAAGCCAAATAGTACAGGATGTAGAGAAATGAATCAGAATGATTTAGATCCAAGCCCCCCCAAAGCGATCCACCTCACTCTCCTCACTCTCGGCCCCAGGCCGTCATGATCCACCTGAAGGGCGCTCACGGCTCGTTCACGGAAGCTCCAATCGCCAGCCCCTCCGTCCGGCCCATCAAAGGCAACAGAAAGCATGGATCCCAACCGATCTCTTAGAAGTTCCACCATGTTCCACCCCATCCTTGGAAAGACGATATGTCGCGAACCCCAAGGGCATGGTTTCGACCAAGGCCACACGGACCTCGCGGACCAAGGCGATCTTTAGGTTTCAAAACGATCTCATGATCCTTAGAACCAAAGGAGAAGCGACGCAAAGCGACCCTTTTGCACTGGGTGGGTGTCTTTATAGGTGATATCATATCTGCACAATTCAGCCGAGCCGTCAACTACTATGTACTTATGCTCCCTACGTGTGTGGAGCACACGATCTGCAGCGACTTAGCAGCGATGAGCGCCAGCGCTAGTGCAAGTCTAGCACAATGCTGCGTTTTGCAAACGCGCCACGAGGTAGCATCTCGGCATATCCAAACACCGGAATTCCAAGCGATTTCTGAATCCCTAGGAACGTTCACTTGGGAGGACCGGTTCACAATTTTCTCATCTGGGTTTCTCGATTTTTCGAGAAAAAGGACACCGACACAGCGGAAGCACTGTGTCGACCAGCTGTCTGGGCACTGGATGTTGTGCATGAAATCCTCATCAAAAAGTCAGTCATACAAAAATGATACGACAAGAAACTCAAGAAATCACATTCCAAACATGTCTTGAACGTCTCATGTCGCCCAAAAAGCCGACGGGCCGTGGTTTCCTCAAATTCTGATCCAGTAACGGGCCAAAGAATCCACTACCTCGAAGACTCTCTGGATGCTTCAATAGCTAGGGGGTCCCGTTCTGCCAAGTCAGAAAAGTGTCCCGGTGCACCTGGGACTCGGAACTTGGAAGTGCTGTAGAAGTCACACCTGGCGAGCAGATTCTGAGGACATGTGAGAACCTTCATCCGAGCAGTTCTTTCAATCGATGTTGACACATGTACCAACATGTCTTTTCCATGCAGGGAGGGTTTTTGGTTGAAAAAACACGCTGGCTTATTTTCCACCCTCCCTACATGCACCAGCGCGTTTTTTTGACCAGCATTTGTTCTCCAGGTCTATCAAGCGTCGGCGTCGCCGTCGGTTTAGGCTTCTTCGGGTGTCCGCCCGTTTTATCTACCACGTCAGGTTCAGAGTTGAGTTGGCCACCGAAAAGAGCCCCATACAGCGTGGGCACATGGACAAGCGCCCCATACAGCTTGGGACTCCTCAGGGTCAACAGATTCCTCTACCAGCACCCGACTTCACAGGTCTGTTAGGAGACCTGTGACAGGGCCCTTCCCAACCCTCCTGTTCGGAGACCTGTTGGGTTCGGTGCTGGTATAAGGGATGTGAAATGATGTGAACCTATATGTGAACCGTGCATAGCCACCGTTCAGGGAGACTGAGTGGATCCGAAGGTAGACTACGACGAAGGTCGGTACGCACCGTACTCAAAAGGAACATCCCAAAGGCGAGCCAGCGAAGTCCAAGCCTGCCCCCACACAAGTTGCAAGCTACCAGTAGATGGGGCTAGAATCTGCTAGATAGATGTATTTGATGTGTGTTTTTATTTGTTTCTTCTATATCTTTCCCATGACATTCCCGTGACCCTGTTTCCATCCAAGATGATCCAAGTACATGAGCAAACTAGCTTGAGCACACTCACCTCCCGCAGACGCACGTGGCCTCTGTCCGGCACGTGACTCGGCAACGCCTGCACCAGGCCGCCACCACGAAAGGGGCCCTTTCGTGGGTGGCCAGACAATCCACATTGGTTGTCAGACCTCTTCCAGCACCGAACCCAACAGGTCTCCGAAATGGAGGGTTGGGAAGGGCCCTAACAGGTTTCAATTGGTGACCTGTGAAGTCGGTGCTGGTTGATGAAACCCATGAACATCCTGGTCCCAACGAAAAAAGGCTCCGTGAACCACCCCCGGCAGCTGTTGAGGTCGGTTTTGACCTGTTCGGCTTCAACTCTCTGCGCCAAAAAAAGAGCTGTGCCAACCACCGAACGGATGAGACGCAAAAGGAGACTGATGCTTTTCAAGTGATGTGTTCTCATGTAAACAACGTCATGTGGCTGTGGGACCTGCTGGCTCCCCCACATACACGCACAAGCAGTACTTCAAAAAAACCACGTGATTTCTGACCATCGAGCAGTTAGAAGCGAGTATTTGTAGTCGACAGGCATTCCACCATGCCTTCCTCAGCTACGACATTCAAAACAAGCAATGGCATGAAAGCTGCTTGTCAACTGACCCACCACTTTTCAGGGACCCCCAAATCCCGCTATGTCCGGCCCCTTCAGTTTCCTGGAAAATCAAGGTTGGTTCATCCTTTGCCATCTTGGATTTGAATGGGGAAACCCATGCCCCCAACAGGTGATCCGCCTTTCCTGGGTGGGATACACTGCCCACAAGAACAGCCCAATCCGCCCAGCCGATCGGCCTTGAGTGCCTTGCTGTGGCGTCCCTCCAAGTGCCATGCCTTGGTGGCAAAGAGAACCGACGACTGAACACGGTGAAGGCCCCCAGATGGTTGGGAGGTTGGTAAAGCTCGGGGATTTCTGACTGTCCAGCAGCTCGTGGCCCCCCGACACACTTTGCCGAACAATAACATGGAAGTGAACAACTCTCCTGTTAAGTAGTCTTCCTGGGTTCCATTTTCCACTTACATGTCCATGTTAGTGAGTTAGAGTGTAGATATGTCGGCCCAACTTTTCCATCTTCACCTCCTGCAGTGAACAAGGCAAGCACACTAAGTACCAAACAAGATGTGGCGGAGACAGTCCAACAAAGAAACGTGGAACAACATATTGTCAAGCAGCGGATTTCTTCCAACAACTGCAAAGTACGACCAATGAAAAACCCCTGCATGGCATGTCATCAACCTTGGCTGCCAGGCTCGCCTCCTGCCCTGTTTGCATGTTCAAACATGATTGTGGTGTCCAACTTCACTCCATTCGTTGCCCTTTGCTCCCAAAGCCGCTTCTGCTTGATTCTTATATGTGTCTCCCAGGCGAGCAACGCCTGGACATGTCTCCCATTTGACTAGGACGCCATGTCCAGATTGCATGGCCTTTGACCTCAAATTCCCTCCCCACTTGAAAGCATTCTCAAAAGAAACATTATTGATATATAAACTGCTATAAAGCTCTGCATCTTCCTGATTGATCATTGATAGATTTTGATAGTAATAGGTCCTCTTCCTTTGCTTTCATTCACCTGGTGTCTAGTTCCAGATTGTGACCATGAACATCCTTCAACCACGGAGCAGCCCAGTCAGTGTCTTCCAACATCACCGCCAGGATTGGTTCCAGTTTCACTGGTCGAGTTGCATGGAAGGACAGCCGGAGGGCCTCCTTCAGCTGCACCTTTCGGCGCATGGAAGGGTGACACCACTGGGACCAACCGCTTCAGGACCTGTTTGGGTCTGGAGAGGCCTTTGCAGCCCTTCGCCACATCCTGCTGACTGGTCAGCCGAAGAACGGTTCCGAGGGTCATGGATGGATGGCCGTGAAATCTGGAGCCTGTGAAACTCCCAAATCACAAGAAGTGGCCAGAATATTTGTCCGGTTCCGTCCTCGTTCCGCATGCAACACATGTGTTTCTTTCTCCAAAGGTAGGGCTCGTTGTTCGGTCTTGTGTGCCCGAACAGCTCTTATAGGCTGTTCACTCCCTGCAACGGATGTCACGGAATTCGGTGGGAGTGGCACCACCGGATTGGTATTTGCCTTCCTCGTCTTCCTTGAGGGGCCATGTGCGGCATGCCATCCAGGATAACTTACAATGCTTTGCATAGGGAGTGCATATAGTCTATAGTATAAAGTGTATACAAGTATATAGTCTAGTATAGTATAGTGTGCATATAGTCTAAGTATAGTCTATATGGTCATTGAAACACGTTAAACGTTTGAGAAGCCGTGACACGTGACCTTTCCAACACGTGACACGTCCGAGACGGATCCACTGTTCCATTGCTCGTGCCAGTGCTGAAGTCTCTTGATCACATCGCCGCTGATGGTGACACCCTGGAAGACGATCACATGGACCCTGAAAACCACTGGTTGGTAGAGGAAAACACTCTTCCAGGGGGCCAGGACGTCAGGGTCTATGTTAGTTTTCGGGAGTGTACATTGAGCACCATGCAATCAGCCATGCTCTTGGCACTTGGCGCTGGTGACTTCCAGTAGTCATCCGCCGAGACGAAGGCTTCTTCGAGAAAAGCCCCGGCTGTTGAATGTGGGAGGCTATTCATGGCGGACAAACAGAGTGTTGAGAGCCTTCTTGTGACTGATTTCTTCCAAGAGATCTTGAGCATCAAAGTCCGCATCGCCCGCATCATTTGGAGGAACCAGCTGACTGATGTAAGCCCTTGATGAAAGAACAATCAGAGTCTCTCTCCTCAACAAGCCTTTTGGGTCTAAACGAGTTCACTAGTCTTCCAAGAATTCTCCCTTTTGCCGAAGGGATGATCTCCACTCCTTCCGTCAACAGACGTCGAAAAAAACATCCTGCAGCTTCGAGTGCCTTCCTTGCTTTCGGTCGGACATTCTTCAGGTCGCTCGTTTGGCGTCCGTGGATCCGCGGGCGGAGAAGTTTGGGACATGTAGTGACTCTCGAGATCCAGCTGAAGGACCCCGCCTCAACCCCCTCTGATGTGGATTACCTAAGATATATCCCTTGATCTGTGGCGTTTGCCTCTTTATTTTACCTTTCTGTGAGAATTGCAGGACTATTTCTAAATTTCCCAGAGAATTTTTGTAAAATGAGCCAGGACTATTTCAAATGCATCTCATTCAGCTCAGAACTATTTATAAACTGTTAGAGAACTATTTATCATCCTATATCAATCTCTGCATGGCGATCTTTGGGTGTTCGCGAAGATCGTGGGCTGGAAGTGTCCAAAGCAGGTGGCCGGCCTATCCTGGAACTGACAAGTTCAGGACCTGAACCGATGCTGTTGTTCGAAGACCATCTCCAGATCTCGCCAAACGCGAAGACCGGTGCGAAGACTGGTACACGAAGACCGGTGCGAATGGAGTTGAGCAATTTCACCCTGAATGGCAGTTACTCATCTCTCTTTCGACAAACCCCAATTCTCGAAAATGGCACCTTTATTTTTCCGGATCTACCCTGAGCATCGAAGTGGATTGGAAAATGCCCCCCTGCGATGACCAGCGGCCTTCCAATTCCATGATTGTCCAGGGCCAACACAACACGTGGCAACTGGTCGCCTCACATGCTTGTGTTCCAATGAACCGATGACGTCCTGAAGGCCAGACTCCCAAGTTTTTGAGGTACACATCAAACTCTTCCAAATCCAACATGGAGAGGAACGACTTTCAACTCATGCATGATCATGCTAGCTTCGAACATCCTCCAACAAGCCTAGCTTCATGCATGTCCTTACTGTTATGTCATGTTCAATCGTCAACAAAGACGGTGCTTGTTTGGAATGCTTGTTCATTCAAGAGTCCGGGAGTTGAGGGTGAACCAACAGTGGTGATTTACCACTCCTCCCCCGACCCCCATGCCCATGCGAACCAGTCTTTCCGTGGAGAACACATGGCGCTCAACGCGGAGTGCAGCAACCGTACATTAAGCGATTGGTCGGGAGATGTTGGGAGGGTCGGGAGATGTTGGGAGGGTCGGGAGATGTTGGGAGGGTCGGGAGATGTTGGGAGGGTCGGGAGATGTTGGGAGGGTCAGGGAGATGCTGGGAGGGTCAGGGAGATGTTGGGAGGGTCAGGGAGATGTTGGGAGGGTCAAGAAAGGTTTCAAACATTCCTTGGAGTCGCATATGGTCCTATGACCAGTGTCATCCACGCTGGGGGAGGTCTGATGGGTGAAACCCCTTTCCACCCCCCCCACCTGGTCTGCGAGGGCCACCCGCCTGAGCGATGTCATGACTGTTGGGTCGGATAGGTCAAGTCCGGCAAAATGCGAATGGGTGTCCTAGGTAGATGTTGTTAGAGTGCAGGAGAATGTGGACACCTGACACAATTTTCTGATGGATCTGGTGAAAAGTCCTGAGTTGTATGTCTTGTGGCCCCCCGCAGCATGCAAGCACAAACCATGACATACCATGACCATCCAATCAAGATTGATTTATCGTGATATATCGTGATTTTTAATGATTTATCCAGTTGGAATGATCTGAAATGATGTGATGTGACATCCCAATTCCCAACCTTTTTTTCTCATGCATCACCCACCTGTCCCAGTGCGCCCGGTGAAGGTCCCAGCACGGCACGGCACGGGACCTGCCTGCGAAGCTTCTCTCGTTCGGATTTCAAGGCATTTTGCATCAGGACGGCCTGGCGACATGAGGACGACCAAAAGGAAGCTACGAACGGTGCTAAGGGCATCGCTACGATCGGGGCTCCTGGCATCGCTACGAACGGAGCATTCTTACTACTAGGAGCAAGAAGCTACTAGGGGCTCCTGGCCATACTACTAGGAGCAAGAAGCTACTAGGAACCCGGGCATCGCTACTAGGAACAAGAACGCTACTAGGAGCAAATGGCATCGCTACTAGGAGCAAGAACGCTACGTGAAGAAACCGAACGTGACCTCCCAAACACGCACAGGATTGGTTCACGAAAGCGCTTTGGATGGTGCCGGAAGAAGCCGTCGGGGGAGTGCTCCAGGCTCTATAGTACTAAGGTGCTAAAGAGAAATCGAGATAGATTCTATGTAAAATGACCTTCCTTTGACCAGTTGCCTTCGGTCTGGTCAACATCTGGTAGCACAACAGCTTGATTTCTGTAGCCCAAGGCATTTGTATCAGTCTCTATTCAGATATTGAGATGTACATTGTACATGAAAGCAAAATACTCTCGCCCATCTCATTTGGAGAATCTGTGCTTCACTGGGCTGGTTTTTGGTCTTCCCAGGTCTTCCCATCTCGTTCTGCACATGACATGGCCCTTCGCCGACAAACCCGGCGAGACCTTCGCCCGCAGCCCCTGTTTCCAGCGCTCCTGTCCACCCGCGCATGAAACCAAGCGACAGAAGGGGGGGTACTATAGATGTGGAGTGCTTTTTTAGCATGTTCGAGCAAGTGTTAAAAACTCTTAGCAAACCAGAATTGCCCCATTGACTTCACTTTGGGTGTTGGGTGTCTGATGGTGTCTGTGTCCTACTGCCTATCATCATCTTGACGCTGCAACATAACATCCATCGTGAAACACCAAACAAATATCGACTCATGTGATGCTTGCCCTTAAATCGTGTCACTCTTCCAGATCGGATGTTTTCTTGAAGAACTCTGATGAAAAGGCTATGAACAGTAAATAAGAGTAACATAAAAAGGAACAGTCTGGGAGAAGTGTGCAGTGCTCTGCGTCTCCATAGCTGCACATGCCTTAAGCGTGTGGTGCTAGAATCGACCCGTCTCCCCATCCCGAGCGATCGACAACGGGTTCCCGGAAAAATGAACGTCTGGAACGGTTCTTCCACCTGTTGGACCTGGGAAAACCAACCCGAAAAGCTCCCAAGTACGGTGATCCACATACTTCCTGGCAGATTGGCCGCAAAAAAGCGGTGGAAAACAGCGCGAATTATCTAGGACTTTCTGCCAAGCTGTGGCGCTTTTTGGGGGTGTCGTCCGGAAAAATGGATGAGCATTTCGGTACCAGTTACGGTCGAAAAAGACGAGTCTCATGGGATGTCGGCGACGGGGCGATTCCGACGGCTCCGACGGCTCCGCCGACCTCGGCGTTGATCACTTCGTGGTGAAGAAAGGGAGTCACTGATCCCAAACACTCCATGGGACTGCCATATATGCCGATCAGTTGGGGTGGTTTTGGGGGTCAATGTAGGCATATATGGCAGTCCCATGGAGTGTCTGGGGATTTGATCCACGACTTTGCATATCCATGGGCGCCCAAAAAGCTCCACGGCGAACTGTTCGTTCTGTGTAAAACATTGTAAAAACAAAAACACTTTCTCGATGGCTGCCCCCCATGATTTCCACAAAAAAAAACACAAATTACCCAGTTCGCAACAGAACTCGATAGGGCTAGCGGCTAGACCGCATTGTAAGGTGTGTTTCACACTAATTAATTATCCCTCAACGAGCAGAACCCTTGCGCCCGCTTTAAGTTGTCGTGGCTAGATACGCATGAGTTACGTAAGAAGTGAGCTCCCCACTGATACAACAATGTTTGCTTGACAAAAGTCGTGTTCCCGAAAAAAGGCATGACTTCAGAAGCCCCATGCGTGCCGCTTCATGTTGTATAAACATGTGGTATAAACTCCATAGCACCGGTCATAGCACCGACGTTTGGCATCCAAACATCCAGCAATGGCATGCACCAGTCTTGAAGCTCGTCGTGCATGAGAAGGCCACTCTTGACCCCAGGGAGGCTGCTCTTCTAACACCAGGGGGGCCTCCGAAGCCGGGGTCGTGTTCCAACATGTTCCAACCAAGCCCCTGTAAGTTGAAAGAGTCAGCAACACCTTCCCAAGGATTTTGACATCTTTTGCATTTGATCCGTGTTTTTTTTTTCATCTCCACGTCGTTGAGAGGACGAAATCTTAGTCTCCTTGATCTGCAGGGGGAACTTGTATGCATGGGGATTAGAACACATTAAGATGCATTACAGTAATCAAGTAATGGATCCTTTGGAGTGTCCGCCAAACCCGCCTCTCTCCAAGCATTCACGATCAGCTGCAGCACACCACATGCTTCCTGACACGCAACGCCTTCTGAAGCCCCAAACATTGCTCCACGGTGGATGACTCAGTCGACCATTCTATCAATCTGACATCATTATCCTGGTTAGGTTTGTCGAAAACCTCCCAGGTTTCAGTGGTGGCTTGTAGGTTCCAGGTTGCCTTCTGTTTTTTGTGTGACTGGCCTAACCCCACGAGGTGAACCCTGGGGTAGCTGACTGGTCGCAATGGGATCGAACCCGGACGGGAGACATGTGACCAAACTTGATTTTTTCTGCTTAGGCCTGGAAACGGTCACCAACCAGGTCCCCCCCAAAGGTCACGTGTCACGAAGACACTGGTATAATAAGAAAAGAAAGACTGGTGTTGTGATCTGAAACCTCATGTTGAATGCAATTCATGAGAGTTCTCATCTGCCGAAAGCGCGTTATAGTTCCCTGTGAATCCTTCAGTCCGAACGATTCCCCGATACCTGCCAAAAAAGGATCAACATCTACGCTTCAAGCATTATACAGGACACTGGCTTATAGTCATCAAAATTCTACATCAACTTGGATCCTCCCAGCGCCTCTAGTGCCTCACTTCTCTTCCCGTTTCTTCCCGTGCCTCCCGTGCGAGTCGCTCCACCAGCACCCGCGGCCGCTCACCGAGCGCGCGTTGCGGAAGCGGCCCGTCGGGGAAGCCGACCGAGCGGGGCACGGGGGCGTCGTGGTCGCGCGAGGTGCCTCGCGGCCGTGGAAGACGAAGTGCTGAGTTCTTTCCGGAAAATGTGTCGCAAACTAAGCGCTCAGAGGCGAAAGATACACAAGCTGAACATGGTGGACATTAGGTCTCATTAGGTTACCATGAAACACATGGCGAAAGAAGCTAGGAAGAACGGTCCCAGCTCAGTTTATGTTAATGAACTGACTCCGTGCATTGTGCAACAACTTGAGGTTTGGCTGAGATGGTTGAAATTCACATTTGCATGTGTGGGATGTCTGATCTTTTAAAAGAATCTGGGAGTCAGGATCTAAGTTTGGCCGGTTGTGAGTTTGGCTGATTGTGAAATCTATTTTCTGTTTCGAGACTGCAGGGTTGCAAGTGTTGAATTGCATGAGTGGAGTGTCTGGGAATATGGAATCCCAATAAGTGTTGCAACCGTTTCTGAGGGGGTCCGAATCAATTTGTTCAAATTAAATTGACTCATAAGTTTGCTGGTGGGTGGAGGAGGGTACTCAGGGTACCAGACGCAGCCACTGACATGGCCCAAAGAGGAAAGTGAGAATGTCATGGCATGGAGGTGGATCAGCTAGCACCACATGTGGCGGCAATCCAGGCGCTGGAGGATGCTGCAAATAACTTTGAAGATGAAACAGTCAAGGCAGCTGCGCATGGCTATTTGAGTCATGTTCGAAACCTCTTCGAGACTTGGCAAACTTCGATTGGATTTGTTTGACTCGTGTCCAAGTTTAAGTTTAAGTTCACTCAAGGATATGTTTGTTTTTGACATGTTGATTTGATAGCCCGCCCCATTATTACACCTTCATCGTGGGCCCCCAGCTCAGCTTAGATCACTCCTCTCACTCAGTTGAGGACAGTTCCTGCGCTGACAATAGACATGTGAAGGCCAAGAAAGGCGGAGATTGGCAATTCACTCTCGCTGGATTGCTTGAAGCTTTACTCACTGGCAGGCTCCTTGCCAATGCTGCCAATCTGGAAGAGTGAGGCGAAGCGTTCGGTGCATTTCCTTCTGGGGCCAAAGATCGCTTCACAAATAACAAACAGATTTGGAGCGTCAACGCATTGGGGTTCCGAGTGAGGCGACTTGGTCACGTGCTCGATTGAAACTGGAGACTTGTTTCAATATGTTTCAATCACTTTAGCACATCACTTAGCACCTCATTTTAGTTGTTTGCAGCAGGTCAGTGGGTCCGGTCGGGAGGCAGTTGAGGGTTCAGTCAGTTCTTCCCATTCCATCGGCTTTTCACCAGTACGCGACTTGCCGCTTACTGTATATTGTATGAGACCGGCATCGGGCCGGCCGGCGGCGGGGCCGTCACCATGGTCACTGCTGCTGAGGAGATAATTGCAGCGATGCGATGCGATCTGTCAAAGGATTGTGCAGGATCGATCGTGGCGGATTTGGCATGTTTAGACATCCTGAGCGGACCGGATGCCGATCGATCTCAAGGGTAAGCGAAGAATCGATCTGACATTGGAGGATCGAAACGATCCACCAGCGATGCAGAACAGGACGCATTGGACGCCTGTAACGATGTTGATTGGAGGAGTGGTCATCAACACCCAGAATTGTGACGACACAATTACCACTGGGAATCATTGGCAGTGCTGGGTTGAGTGCCAAACATGAATGCATCTTTCATCAGGTTGGGGTTGGAACATTTGAATGTAATTTGTATAGTAGCTTTTTGTTTTTTTTTGTACTGGACTTGGAGACCAACAGGTGAAACTGGACTGCGGAAGCAAAGTGGCCGCACTCTCCACGTACTGCGAAAGTGAGATCGGCTATTGCAGCGATTTTGGCACAGAGTCGCAGTTCACTGAGGCTAGGGGGTGACAGGATGACGGTTCATGAGTTGTTTTGACTGATGACTGTTCACGAGAAACCACAGTAAGGACACTTTACAGGTGTTGAAATTTGACTTCAACTAGCTAAATACTAAAGCAGCAGCAGCAGCAGCAGCAGCAAACAAAACCCAAGAAGCACCATATGGTGCGTCTTCTCAAGGTTTCGACTGTTTGCATTAACTCGTTGAGGCACTAAGCTCTTTGCTGAATAAGTCGTCCGTAGATGTCCGATTCACGGCCGATTCGCGTGAAGTCGGACTGAGAGTCTCGAGTTCGGGAGGGGAGGGGGAGGGAATGGTGGCTTCTTGGCCGAGTAAACACTATGCAGTTTCTCAAGCTTTTTACAAAGATCACAACATCAAAGCAGATTTGACAACTAGGTCTGTTGGTCTGGTGGAGGGTAGGGTAGGTCCAGTAGGAAATCACAGAGCTCGTTGCGTTGTGTTCTTCGGTTGGCCAAAGGTTGTGCATATTTGCGCATGAAAACACATGCTAATTCAATGAAGAGTCACTCAACCATCAGCCAAAGTGAGCTGTCAAAAGATCCGAAAGACCAGGGGGGGCGCTTGAACGGAGCATGGAAAGCTCACACCATGTTGCGAAATTAAGTTGAACACGTCAGAGACCTTCCGATGGTTCACCCAAACGGGGCGGGGGCATTTAACGAGACCTTCCCCCCCCCGAACAGATCCCAAAGCCATGCACGAAAGCTGCGAGTCTTCTTCTTGGCGCAATGCTACAAAACCCCTTTTTCACCTTCTGTTCGACCATTCAATGAAAAGGTCTTGACCCGGTTTGGGACCCGTTCTTCAAGCCACCCGAACCTCCGAACATCCCCTGGCCACGCACGGCTTCAGCAGCCCAGCCGCCGCGTGAGGCGATCCAAAACACCCGGTCAAACAGCCCTCCTTACGGTCCGGACCACCTCCGTTCACCCTCCCGGCGCCTTGGGAACGTTCTTCCGGAAGGCTCGCAGACACCTGGAACCGGAGGACGACCCCGACGAGGTCGATCGCGAAGGTCGATAGGTAGGTTCCGTGGAGACAGGAATCCTACCTAGATCCAGATCCAGTAGGCATTATTAAATACGTACTAGGTAGTAACGGGTGGTTATTAATTAGACTGACGACTTTTAAAACTGTAGACCTATAGAAACCCTGGTTCCTTGTGTAATTAGTGGCTGCCTTGGGATCCACTGGGTAGGAAAACGACTTCAAAGTGTGTTTGAGTGCAGCAAATAGGACCAGTGAGAGCAGAAGACCTGCTGAATCGTCTACCTATCCATTCTTATACTACCAGTACCCCCTCCAGTGATTCGACGAATTCCATCCCCAAAAGTGATAGGGCCTCATAAAACATTAGCCATGTTTATGCGGGGTGTCCAAACAATGCACGAAGAATCAACATGTAAGGATGGACTTGCCAGAGTCGCTTGGAACTTGACTTGCCGCCTGCAGCTCCCTTGCTTCCAGCGAAACTCCTGCAGGACGGCAGGGATATCCACCTAGAGCTGCGCTTGGATCCACCCGCTGCCGGATGAGTTGGACCGGATGAGCAGGTCTCTAGCATGTAACTGTGCCGGGGACAGGGAAAAACACGTCCAAGAATTTGGGCTGCTCAAAGACTCATAGAACTCAATTGCTGAGCTTAACCCACCAAACCTACCAATGACTGTTAAAGTATACGTATTTCTCTTTACTAATATCATATCGTACAATCAATATCTATATCACTATTATAGGATACTGTGTGATATTACATTCTGAGCGACACTTGGGCATCCCCAGACCTTGTCTTCTCGAATCACTTCCGCAAAGCGATGTTCACAAACGAAAGATTAAGTTTCACCTTGTTCCAAGATGTTCCTTTTGGAACACGACTCCCAAACCCATCCCAAGCCCACTATACTGACTCCAACACCCAGGGGCCATCCCGAGGCCCATGATTGCCGAACATCGACCGTCACTCTTCCACAGTGCTTGCCTGGCTTCCGCAGTGCTTGCCACTCGCTCCCTTCAGGCGTCTGCCCCAACAGAAGAGGGCCTGGTCCGACGGTCCGAGGGGAGCAATGGATCCGAGTCTGAGGCGACTAGAATCATACAGAGGTCAATGGGAGGAGCTCCACATGCCGAATGGCCTAATTATTCGGTACACTTCAAGGCATCCCCTCTACAAATCAAGCTAGCAGGTGCTACCAGTATAAAGGGCCATCTATGATGGAAATCCACTCTTCCAGTGTCAAGCATTCCACTTGCACATATAGAACAAACCTGCTGTAGGTTGGCATTTCCGAATCGGCTTGGATGTCCAGCCGTGCGCTATCCGTTTCCAAGGAAAGGTGCCAGATGTGTTGCCTGAAAGTTCACTTGGAGGTGTCAGTTCCTCCTCCTCTGACCCATCTTTCCCTACCTTCGACCCGTTGATTTGTAGCCACGTGACGTTCCGTTCGGCAGCAGGCCGCTTTGCCGTCTCCGGCACGCTCGGCGGTGTAGGTGCTGAGGCGATCCAAGGACTGGCGTTGGTTGGGGAGCGCTGTTGGGAGCGGCGACCGGCTGAAAAACCCAACAACTCACAACATCACACCGGCATCGACCCACCAAAGATCAACCCCCCGTCACTGAGAAGAAACTCTACGGTTCTCAGCTATCTGGGGAAAAGCATGGAAAAACTCAAGTACTGGCAACTGCTCTTGCAGTAGTCGTACCAGGCTTTTCGGTTCAGTGTCAGCGTGGAGAAGGTTGCCCGCTCGAGTTGACCAACATGTAGGCCATTGACGTGGGCCCTACTGAACCACGGGTCCACCGGACGCCAATGGCCGTAGCAGCGCATGCAGGCGACCCCCTTTTAGGCAGCGCATGCAATCTTCTTAGTTCTATCTCATGTGCAGCAGTTTGGACACCTTTGTTGGCTTCATGTCGAAAGAGGCAGCGCTTTGGCAAACCGCGTTTGTGGTGGACTGGGTGGCGCAGCACTTTGCCAGCATTGGCCTCTGGAAGTAGGTGCAAGTCGCATGTGCTTAAAATGCAAGTTGCATGCAACACACATCCAACACACACACACACACACCATGGCACGCACCGATCTAAGACTTGTCCTGTAGATCTACAGGAAGAACGCGCTCTGCATGTGACAACAATGGTCGTTTGGTCACTTGCGAGTCTGGAGGCTGTAACATGTCCACTTCACCACACTCACCTGGAATTGTTGCAGGAAAAGTGCTCGTGTTGCATGTGGAAGGTCTGTATTCGTTGCAACTATGAACGCAACATACTGTGACACTGCCAATGGCCGACCACCGGCCCGGCCCCCACCGGTCCACCGGTCAGACCCGCGCCTGCAGGACTTGGTCCCAGTGGCTGAGAATCTCGCTGAACTGGGCCGGGGCGGAAGTCGTGGCTGAAGCCGGTTCTACTGGGCTGGGGCTGAGGGGTGCTCCGTCTCCGGTTCCACAAGGAGCGGTGCGTCGAACGGATGGCTCGGTGAGGCCCAACGAGGGTGAGACCAGATCGAAGCTGCTCGGTCGATCGCGTGACATCTGCGACTCCGGGACTGACCAAAGGGATCAAACAGATTGCTCCATCGTGTGGGGTGTAGGACCACTCTGCCGGAGTTGGTTGCGCGGACCCGTGTCCAAAGACATGGAACCACATGGAAACACATGCGGTGGAGGAAAGGTAGGGGCCCCTTCCTAACCATCGCAGAGGAAAGGCATTTCACGCACACGGTGCCCCATGTTTGTCTTTTATTACTTTCTTCAGTACCAGAAGAAGCAGAGTCTCACTCACTCTCCCTCTGCAAAAAAAGCTTCACACACCAGTCCCATGTCTTTTTGGAAAGCTCAAGACACATGGTGCTTTCATACCTGGAGTGGAAAAACCACTCAGACTCCCCCCGCGCCAGTGCCCAGCTCGGGTGGCCGGGCGCCAGGTGTAAGGCCAGTGCCCAGCCCAGGGGGTCCGCCCAGCTTGCCGGTCGGTGACCTCGACTCAAGGTCCTTTGATCACATAGAAAATGTAAAAGGGTCATGTGTATCATATATGTTAGTTTTTAAATGTAAAAAGGATGGCACAATATTTTAAGAGAGGAGTACACAATAGTAAACATCTAAAACCTTGAGAATGGATTTGTGCATCTCCTGCTTGAAGGGATTTATCTCTATATATAGTACATAAATATAGTAGTATATATATAGTAAAAATATGTTTTGCTTGTAGTAAAGTGTCACCATGCGCCACAATCGGTTCAGAAAGGCGGAGCCGCTCATTCTTCTTTTTTCGCATCAAGCAAGCGAAATCTGCAAAAGGCTAACGCGCTGCCAGGCCCTTTGAGCAGCTACATGCTGCAAGTCCCTCCTCCCGCTTGAAGGATGTTTGTTTACCCTCTATCCTTCCAAGACCATGTACAAAATGGCTATTGACCTGGTTGTATTATATAGTCTAAAATCCTCAGTAACACAAGGGTTGTTCGGTAAGAACCATTCAATCAATGGTGGTTTGGAATGATATACATTCGCTGGTGTAAGCTCGAACTCTTCAATCTTCCTAGCGTCTTTTTCGGCCTTCTGGATCGGCGCTTGAAAGAACGACTCATAAACCAAACGGGCCCAAGCGTTACTGCCCAAAAGGCCTCACCTTTAAGCCTCCAACAATTTCGAGCTGGTGGTGGGACTGCTTCGCTGTCCGACCGCGTTTCTCAAGCGATTCCTTGGGGGAACCGTAACATGCGACCTGTTTCGGGCTGCCATGGGCTGGGCATCTGGGCATGTTGTAAAGCAGAGTTGGGAGATGGAAAGCCGCCGATGTGTCATTCTGAATTCTCTCCCCTACGTCGATCAAACCAACAATTCCCACCTTTGGCCTTGAAAGACCTATATGCTACTAGGAGCAAAGGGCATCGCTACTAGGAGCAAAGGGCATCGCTACTAGGAACAAAGACGCTACTAGGAGCTCCTGGCCTTACTACTAGGAACAAGAAGCTAGTAGGAATTGAATTGAAAGACCTGACAAGCAAACAACATCTCTGAAAATGCCCATCCAAGAGTTCAGCGCCTCAGATCCATTTGTCCAATGGATGGACACCCATCCGGAGCATGGCAAAGCAAATCCCGCAAACACCATGGGAGAAACGGAGAATCGGATGTTGACTCATGTTCATTCCCTGCTTCACCATGGTCACGCCACGGAACCATCCCCTCTCAGACTGTGCTCTACACCAAGACCCGGACGTCGTGGTCGTCCTCCAACTTGCAGCTTTCGCTGTCGCAACTTTCGATGAGCCCAAAGTGCTCACCGACACCAAAGTTCACCGAATCCCTCAGGGTGAAATAGAAGACGTGGTCTGGGCCTGCGATCGTGACGACGATCTGATTTGTGGTTTGTGTGGATGATTGAAGACACACTTGAAACAAAAAAAACACTTCAGTCAGAAGAAACACACTTATTTTTAAAAGTTTCCATTTAGGATTGTTCGGACAAACATTCTCAAATGGCGAGGTAACATGTACAAGCACTCAAATAATATGGACTTTTTCTTCTGGGCTTACAAGTCCAAATAACTTTCGACTTCGACCGTGTTCAGCTGCACTCACTTGGATGTGTTTATATAAAGACCTGACCACCGGAAAACGGTCATCCAAGGGCCATGTCATCCATGTAACCATGATTATTTCCAATCCGTGTACCCTCCACAAGTTCTGGCAACCTGAAGATGTTGACGTGACAGGCAGAGATGCAATTTGCAAAGACCGAGTGTTCTTCATGGCAGGTTCTTCGGCCTATTGACACATTTTCTGGAGGCGGAAAATCGTCCGAAACGGCCAGGCACTGTCTGTTCCAGAGATCACATTGAAAGTGTTTGGCATCATACCCTACAAGTCCAAAGATCCAGCAAACCTGGTCCTTTCCCTTCTTGAATCGTGTTTTTGTATGACCAACTTCAGCAAAATGAGGTCTTTGACTTGTAGGGATAGTTTCTCGATCTTGCAGGATTTGAGGCACCTCTTTCATCCGTGCCGATGCTGAGGTTCCACTTCAGGAAGTTCTGATAGTACCTGGTTCGTGCGCGAAGCCTCCACACGTGCACAAAGGTCTTGAGTGATACTGTGGAAGGAGTTCTGCGCCAAGTGGAAGATGTGCAACTCTGTGTGGAAATAGTGGCAATTCTTTCAATAAATAAATGGATACACATAAACGCTTCTGAAAGTCCGTGGTTCCGGCCTTGGACATTGACTTCCTCTAACCAAGTCAACCCCCGACAGTTACACACACACACACATTGAGAGGATTTTTGCAACCTTTGCCGGCCAACTGCTCGTTCTGGGTTCCAACATGTTCGATGTGTACCTTTACATGCTTGATGAGATCCTTTTAAGTGATCAAATTAAGCTCAAACCAATTGCTTGGTGGGTCTGGGAGGGTTCATGAAGACTGCTGGAAAGACTTGCCAGGGTGGTGGTATCAAGACCCCGCTGACTCAATGCTGGCTAAGCGAGTGCCCCCCATCCCCACAGTTTATATATGGCCTTTTCCGAAGACAGACTCTACTCACAGTCTCATGACCTCCAAATGTTCCTAAAGAACGGGATTAGTCCACAGGTTCTAGAAGGTTCCATCCACCATCGATCCTGGCTCAAAGGGGATGAAACCACGTCCTAATGAAACCTCAACCCCCTCTTAAAATATTTCTTGTAGACTCTTGAGTACTAAACCCACCCACCAAAATGGATTGCAACACCTCTTCCTATTTTGCTTGGTTGGCTCCCGGTTCCAAGAGCTGTTCCAACAGCTTCGCAGCTTGCGCGCTGACTTCGCTTGCGCGCTCCAAGCCACGTGCGGAAGGCCAACTCTGAGGAGAAGTTCTTGCACTTGGCCATCTGAGCATTTGCCCCTCACAAAGAAGGTTGATCAGGTCGGCTCGGCTGGTCGGTGAGGGTGCAAGACGGAAGATGTGGAGCGGACAAGCACCGAAAACGAAGAAGACCCAAACAAAAACAGGTCAAAACAGGTCAAAACGGAGTCCATGATGATGAATGAAGGAATGAATGAATGAAAGAACAAGTAAGCAACTTAATGAAAGAACAAATGAAAAATCAAATGAATGAATGAAGACATGAATGAAGAAATGAATGCAATAATGAATGAACAAATGAAGGAATGAATGAACGATTGAACAAAATAGATGAATGAAAGTTATTCCATCTCTAAGTGCATATACATATACACATATACACAATAATGCACTTCTGTGTGAAGAACTTGTGTAGCCATTTCGAGTCTAACTCCAACATTTTGAGAGGAGCGCCCATCTCACCCGTGCTGTGCATCATCGAGATGTGGGGACCGAACAAAACTCAGCAAAACACTCGGGACCTGTCACGAGGTCATCGACCACAAAGGCTGACCACAAAAAAAACAACCAACCAACCAACCAACCAAATCCACGATTCAAAAGGCCAATCTGGCCGGAATGAGGCATTCTGAGCCTTGTATGAGGTCTCAAAACATCCTCAACCCATTCTGACATTGGGTGCATGATGAGTTCCCTCAAACAATCTCGCAGCCACATCAGCCTCATCCGATCGTGCAACATGGCAACTAATAGCCTGAAGGCTAGAGCTAAGCTGAAATTGGTCTTTGCTACCCTCTCTCCAAGAATCCCTGGAAGGATATTTTGTTGTAAAGGAACATGGTCCCCTGCAGGGCCTAGACGTTCTACACATTCCACCCTCTCGACTGGTCGAGACAATAAGCCTCTCCTGGCAGGGTGGACGCTTGAGGGTAGGACCAGCCGGTCTCCCCCAGCCACAGTTTGCCTCAGAAAGCACACATCACGCATGGATTTGCATGGATTTGCTTGGTTTCCGCACCTCGAAAAAGGATAAAACACATATTCACCAGAAGGGGAATTCACCCTACGGGGGAACAAAAGCACCTTAAGCAAAACCAGGAAGTCTCTCAGAATAGATTCTCAACGATGACAATGGCTGCATGTATAATAAGTGATGCAAGGTCTACCAAATTGTAGCGCCCCTATATGCATGACATGTGGACGAACATGAGCAAACAGGGATTTCTTCGACCTTTCTGTGTCCTGTTTGCTCCTGGATCTTTTCTTGCACTTGTTGCTCTGATATGCCCTGATCAGCGCCACACATGGCCTGGTCTTCTGAGCCTCTTCAGGAGTTCATCCCCTTCCTACCCACTCTGGAGATTGTCCACCATCTACAACCTGACCTGGACCATCCAAGGTATGGTGTGTGGTGTCCAAGGGGTGTCGATTTACCAAGTCGGTCTGGGGGGCTTCCGGTGACCCCCGACAGGATGGTCCTGGTAGGATCTGGCTTTTGTCTTCTTACATCTGGTCATGTGTAGTAAGACCATCCTCCAGCTTGCTTAGGGGCATCTGATTACACCAGCTTGCTTAGCAATGAGTGGTTGATTAAAAAAACAAAAACACATCAGCTGAGGGTTCACCCCGTCACTCCCTCCCTCTCTCTGCCAAAGTGGCCAGACTTCGTTCCGGTCAACTTCTCCATAGATCTCCGCATGGTGGAGGTGATTGATGGAAGGAGGCAGCCCGGGCCATCAAAGCATAAGGATTTCCTCAAGCTCCAAGCATAACGATTGCCGCATGGAAAGGCATGGTGTGAAAACGGGAAATTCGCGGTGGTTTGGGACTTGGGGGATATGAACAGCTTCTTCGGGTCTTGCATTAATAACCACCCCATATTGAAAGGTGTTTCAATTCAAATATATAGGCGGTTGTTATTCAAGAGTCTACAAACTATATCAATGTTTCGAATAATGTTGGATCTTGATTAGTAAAGGGCCCCCCCCCAAACACTAGCAGGGCCTTGTGACTAATCAGCATCTTTCCATGATCTCGAAGATCCCAGTTTGTAGGTTCTGCTCCTCTGTGAGGCGTAACAGTAGACATGGGTCTCCTAGAACCGACCATCACGACTGATGGAGACCAGCTTGATGAGGGGAAGGTCGGTCACGTGGAGCTTCGGTGTGGCAGTGGGTCAAAAGCATGTGTCGATTGGTGGATCCATAAACATCCATGAAGAGTCTTTAACTGCAGACAAAAAAGTGGGAATGCTTCTTTCGTCTGGAGAGAACAATAAACTTCAATGAACCACTTGAAATCTACCCACCCACATTCTCTGTTGCCTAAAGATTTGCAAAGTCATCACAAACACATACACACACACAAGGCCCATGGGATTACGGGAGAGGAAACATGACCTCCCCATCTCCATAGTCTCCTCACCGTCTGCGTCTCCGTCTAGGCCAAGTGTCTCCAAGGCGCTGGAGCATCCGGAGGTACTATTGGGATCCTGAAAAAAAAACCAGACATCGGTCGATGACCTGCGGATTCACCTTGACCTGCGGATTCACCTCCTTAAGGACTCCTTCAGTTCGGGCGAGATCCGAAGAGTTTCGAGATCCGAGGTCGACACAAAAAAACATTGCAGGTGTTTTGGCTCTCTCTTTGGTTCGACCTGTGCCTTGGTTGGATCAAGTGAATCTTCCATTAAGTTTTGATCATAGATTATTATATGTAATCACACACACATTGTATATGGGCGCGCGCGTGCTTTTCAGGGCCCCCCCTGTAAACCATAAAAGACAATAGACAAATAACGCGCCCAACTATAAGTATAGCATTATATAGTAGATGCAGATGCTGAAACAGTTGCATTGAGCAAGCATACAACTTGAAACATACATACAAATTGGAAAACTGAAAAACAACGTGTCCAAAATCGATGGTTTGGGATATGTCTTTTCTACCTTTTTTTTCCTAGGCTCGACAGATTCCACACAGATATATCATATACTATATATATGGTCATTTAAATTTAATCTATACCTACCCCTATATATCTACCTTTCTGGTGTATTGTATGTATTTTGCAAAATTGTAGTGATTGTGAAGCCCGAACCATTGTAGCACAAATAAAGCCAATATCACGTTGTTCTTGAATCATTCTTAATAACCTTTATGAATGATGCTATTGTTTGAGTTATTTTTTAGTGAACAGGAAGTGAATAGTTCAAATTGCGAGCTCCTGCTTGGACTTGGAACTCAATAAAATTTATGTATTAATAGGTAGGGCCCATGTAAGAGTATTGATTTGTTAGAGGATGAAATACAATACACATATACAACCATTAAAGTTAGATCATATGATTCAGAAACAATTGCTCTCCAGGGGGGGCCCCGAAATGTCCGCGAGCCCATATAGTATTTATTTCTATATACTGTAATGACATGTAATGACCTCCTGGGCACCCCAGTCCCAGCCAGAAACGAATTTCATTGAATTTCCACGAACAAGCTCAGTGATGGAAAGGATCTCAATTGTCATATTGGAACAACCATCTGTTCCTGGTTGCCAGGGTTTCCAGGTATTCAATCCCATGGATGAAGGGAAAAAAAGGTTCCGAAGACACCTGCTTCAATTCCTCCAAGGCACCAAGCGATTCCCAGGATCAAAGTAGGGATACACGTTCAGCGTGAAGACCCATCGGTCACCATAGTCATCGGTGACGTTCTGGAGGAAAGACAAGACCTTGGCTCAGAGTCTTGTAGAAATATTCCATTGATTTCCACTAACAGTCACGGAATGAAACATGTTGGAATGAAACATGAATCAATCACCTGCCCCTATAGGGTTCTGCCACCCCAAAAAAATGGTTCTTGCATTTGCCTGAGAGACCTTGGCCATGGGTGTGTCCACGAAGGGGTTTCCAGCAATGATGTAGCCGCCAAAGACGCTGGTCAGCAGAACATCCTGTCCCGGGTGGCAGTCAACCAGGTTGTAGCGAAGCCTACCAAGAACCACAACTGTCACCTTGCACTTGGAGTACAAATCATCCCAAACATGTTTTCCTGTGCAAACAGGAGTCAAACAGATAGGTTAAATATTGGTATATACATGTATATACATTGAATGACACTTAAACACTCCTGGAACGTATCTGGGATAAGTTATTTTTTAAAATAGCCACACAGTATCCAAGAAAGTATTCCAGCCCCCTGGAGTGGTCTGATCCTAGCTTCTCTGCCTTCGGGTGCCTCTTCGATCCATGACGACTTCACAGGCTCGCAGAAAGCCGGGTGGACCAAGCGCCGAAAGAGGACCAGTCGTGGGAGGAACAGAAGTCACAGCAGAAGTATCAACCAGGTTCATTGACCAGCAGTCACATTTCCGGGGTGCTATCCATGGAGGAAGTCGGGGTACCCCTGTCACGTCCACTCACGTAAGGGGACGAGCCAAACCACCCCGAGCTCTATGACTCCTGGTACTATCAACAACAAACCGCTTACCCTATCCACCTCCAACCGTTTTTTGCCTCGCGACCAACACACCGTGGCCGACGTGGCGAACCTGCGGGGACGTCCGATGTCCAACGTCCCGTTTCGCGCGTTCGGTCGGCTTGCCGATCCGTCTCCTGAAATCCCTTGAGCTCGTTGAGACTCTTCACGCGTTCGGTGAGCTTCCGGTAGAAATAGCCACCGGACCAGATCTGTTGAGCGCACGCGCGTGGCACCACATCAGGTGGCTTGAACTGCAGCAGCTCCTGCCGCCGGGACGAGTCAAGGCAGCTCCGCGGGGAGCTTTTGCGACCGGTTACCGGTGAACAGTGAGCGGTGGCGAGTGAAACGGACTCAGTCATACGACGGGTGGCGAGTAGAGGGGCGAGGAGAAGCATGGTCGCCGTATATATATATATATATTTACTATTATGATATGTGGTAATTGGTGATTGGGTATACTTGGATGAATGATGAATGGCTAGCATTGGCCAGCTCAGAAAACAAAAAACAACCTGTAAGGACCGATGTCATTCCTGCATGTTCGCACTACAACATGTGCTGCAGGGACCCTAGGACCGGTTTCAAGACAGAGCCAATATGAGCCAATGATTCAAGTCAGGGCACCCCAAGAAGACTTTTGCTCACTGGCCTGGTCAAGCCGAGCTTTATCTTCCCACTCCACAGCGACAATTCCGATCATTTCCCAGAGCATCCATGTATGGAATAGTTCCTTGTTACATACATTATATAGTCCCATTTGACCCCCATATAATCTATCGAGTCTATCGAGTATACAACGATATTCCACACATGAATGGTCTGGGTTTGTTCGAGCATTTCTTGATACTTGATACATCTTGATACTGTATACCTTCTGCATCCCTTTCAGATTCTTTCAGAGTCCCTGTTCGGGGAAAGCATGATTCTTGAACTCAAAGATCATCAAACACATCCTCCAGCTCCAGTGTCCCTTCGGTCCACCCACCTGCACTCCGGTTCCCCGAAAAAACAAAAACGGTCCATCTCGTTGCCCACGGCCAGTGCCATCACGTGCTTGGGGCCCAGCAATTCCAAGAGCTCCAAGACCCAGGCCCAGTCGCGATCATCGTCCGTCTCATTGCCTCAGGTTCAGCTTGGGTCCTCAGGTCCATCACCTGAATCTCTGCCTTCTCAAAACAAACCTGGCGATCGGTGGACCAGTCAATGTGACAGAGGAACCTGGATTTGCTTGAGGAACCTGGACAAAGTAAAGCATATTCCCCGGAAGGGGATTTGGCCATACGGGGAAACACATCACCTTAAGGTACCGCAAAACCGGTATCTGACAGACCTCCGAGTCGCAGGTCACTTGCGTTCCCATCAGAATCTTGGCCTCGTTCTTCTCCACGAAGCCCTTCAGCGCTCCCCAAGCCTCCAGGCGCTCCTCCTGGTGCTAGAGGGAAGAGCCATAGACTTGACTGTCACCTACTGGTGGGCACATGCAATGAAAGTGCGGCGGAATTGCACCCTCAAGGGCACCACCTCCCGCCTGCTATCGACTCCCCAATGTCAGCAGAGAAGGTGCCGGTGATGAAGCAGGGAGATCCGACTTTCCATTGGCGCGCTGGCAAGGTTCAGCGCAATGGTGGCAATTGGCGCTGCTTCAAGAACCGCACGGATCGCAAGGACAAGAAGTTCAAGATCGGCGCCACCGAGGATGAAGAGAAGGAGAGTTTTGTTCGTGCACTCAAGTGGATCGAGGAACCGGAGTGATTGAGTGTGCAAATATAAAGATGTTCATGAGAGGGCCGCCTTAGAACTGCTTTCGTGACTGTTGGAGCTTGCGCAAAGAAGGGTTTGTTTTGCTGCAGCTTGCAATAAGTGAAATATAAGTCACGGGTATATGGTTGTGGTGTTTCAGCATTGGAGGCCTGTGAGATCGTTTTCCTAGTTGGCGTGGAGGAGACGCGCATTGCATGTGCCACCGCAGTTGAGAGACCGGACACTGCTCCGTCCCGGTGGCACTCCGGTCCCGGTCGCGACCCCGTCCGTCTCTCCTCGGGCCAGGAGGGATCCCAGGCCTTGAAGAGCCGCAAGGAGCCCAAGGAGGCGCCAGTGTTGGGCCAGGAGAGGGGGATCTTCTCGGAACAACCTGGCGAGCGAGGCCCGTAGGTAGGACGAGAGGGAATTGGGTTTGGGTTTGACCAAGAAGGACCATGGTGAGAGGAGGGGAAAGGAGAGTGTCACCAAAAAAATTCAATAACCTTCACCGGAGAGGTTTTGGAATGGAAGACTTTCCAAAGAGATGTAAAATCTCGATAAGATATTTAAAATGCAAAAAAATGCAAAAAATGGTTTAAATGAACATCTTTGCAACAATCATCTCAAAAAATCTCGAAACATCTCAAAAAATCTCGAGGGGATAAAAGGAAAAATCATTTTAACAACTCAAAAAATCTCGAAAAATCTCGAAATATGAGAAAAATTGAGAAAATATGCAAAAATATGCAAAAACATAATTTCACATGCAAACTGGAGCGTGATATGACTGCTGCGGTCAGTTGTGTTCAGCTGTTAGGATAACTTCTCCCCAAGAAACACAATTTGATTAACCATGTTGCGTTTGAGGTGTTTTCCCCAAAAATAGTATAACTTTTTCCCGAATGCGTAGCGAAGGGTTCTCGTTTAACTCTTGGGGGTCTGGGGGTGGAGCCTTGTTCGTGACCCGTTGTTTCTAAGTTCGCAACCGTCCGCAACCGTTCGCAACCGTTCGCGGTAGAGCGCTAAGGCGCTGCCATTGGGGGAAGAACCCATGATCATTGATTGTGATAGTTTGGTCTTTGATTGTGATAGTTTCATTTTTTCTTGTTATGAGTCTTAAACCACATATCTGTAACTTACGGTGGAGTTCCTGAACACCCTGAGTTGCTTCATGATGGTGTTTCTTTGCAGCAATGTAAATTTGAGGTGTCAAGCCAAAACAGCGGGGGGGACACTAGGCAAATTGGACCAAGTCATCAGTCAGAGAGTTTGGCATATATATTTTTACTGATCTAGGTTGTCTGATCTAGGTTGTAGCAACTTCTTTGTGAGCAAAACAAATGTAGACATTGTAAACTAGGTTAAATGTAGTTTGGCATGTTACATCCATGATCTTGTTTTGTGTGAGTTTCTTTGAGTAAATGTATTGATATGTTTGATTTGGAAAGTAAACAGAAGCAGTTTTGAGATGCACCTGTCTGTCAGGCCCTGTCAGGAAAGAAGCAGTACTAAGGCCACTAAGGAACTAGACATCTTCAACTTCAAGAAGGCAATATTTTTTAACTTTCCACCGAATAGGTGGGTAGCACCGAACAGGTGCTTCTTTTTTCGGGGGGGAGGGGCAACACCAGTGGAGCACTTAGTTTCAGTCCTTGCAAATATGCAGGACTCATACTTCCAGGCTGGATAAATATTTTCTATAGCCAAGGTCTTTGGGAATATCCAGGACTTTGGAGTTTCTTTGAACATACCATCAAAAAACTACTGTTCAGTTCAACCATATATAATATATTGTAAAAAAACAAGTGCCAGCTCTGGATATATATACTCTCTTTTCTTCAGTTGCATTGCAACCACTCACACTTCTCAGAGTCAAATTTGGAAAGGGCTAAGTTCAGTCAGGAAAGAGTGCATGACTCTGGACTAAGGCACACTAAGGCATGCTAAGGTCATCGCCCACAAAACCAGTTGTCAAGTTGAACACGGACTAGGTGTCAACCACTGTCATGGTGTTTTTTAATGTTTGGGTATTGATTTTCACTCCATCAACCCATTGCAACTCATGCCATTTCCTTCCAAGCCTACCCCATCTATCATTATTTCTATCTTCAAGATTTCCTGGCCACACCTCAGCACCACACACTCCTTTCTCAATCACCAGTCACACGTTGCCTCATTGCACCCTTGATTCGAGCTTCATTCACACTTTTCTAGTCACCAATTCATTTTGTCCTGTCAATTTGCCAAGCTTCCCATTGATGCTCTCAGTTCATATTTCTTTGTGTATGCAAGCTGAAGATTAGTTATTAATGAGCTCTCCAAACCTCAGTGTTTGTGGCAAAAAAATGGCTTCAGAATGCATTTGGCTTCAAACATCCACTTCATTCATCTTAAGCCAACTCACGGCCATGCAGGAAATAATGCATATGTGTGGGCTAAGGGTCACACTAAGGCACACTGAGGTAATCACACTTGTGGCAAGCTTAGGAACAACCACGATTGAATTCAGTCTGGCCCGTTTCATGGTAGCAACATATTTAACGCCAACCAAACATCACTCACTGCAATACATACATTCCAATCATCCCATTCAATTGAAGTCCAACCAGTTTTCCAAATAGCATCATTGAGCAACATTCATTGAGCCCCTCAATCGAACTTATGGTAACCCATCCAGCCCTTCCCACCACCATTTGCCCTTCCATCCCAGCAGCAGTTCTCATGCATCTCTGTTCAACCAACCATCCACACATTCACTTCTTCATACAGCCCACCCACACATTTATTCACTCATCCAATCAACCCACAGTTTTTTGTCCAAAAGAGTGCACAGTGTTATTGTCCACACATTTTTCAGAATGTGCTTTGCTTGCTTGTGAGTGAAGTGCTTGTGAGTGCATCACTGTTTAACCATGGGCGGGCTTTCACCTAAGGAAAACCAGGTTCAAGGTCATTGCCAATGTTCAATCTACTGTCAGCAACCTAATGGTCCATCTTTGATCTACTTTAATTTGCTCAAAAGTATAATTCATGTTTATGCCAAGGCTTGGTAGTATGTATTCTGTGACAACTTTTGGATAATTTCCAGGGCTTGAAAGGAAACATAGCATACTATATATACATATTGCTTTTGATGGATAGTTTCAAAAAGTATGATGCACTGCAGAACATGCATGTACATGCAATAGCACAGGTGCCCTTTTGAAGTGATCATATTTTAACTATAAGAATATAGTTCTATTTTGTAATTGTATAGACTGATACTGGTGGTGTTCCTTCCTTCCAAGTTGAATGGGCGCATCCCATTGAAAGGGCCGGCGCTGAGAAGAAAGGTCTTGAAGACTCTGAGACGGAGAAAGCATTTCCCGGGCATGTTTTGAGCCATCAACATGAGCTCATTGAAGCTGATCCTCATATATCGATCAGTGAGGTTGGCATCAAGATGTGACATCAGTCCATCAAGCATCAGTAGGGGTAGTGTGCTTTGGTGGTTAAAAAAGATCGCAGCCAAACACAGATATCATTTAGAAAATAACATCCCAAGAAATGAGTTTGGCTTGAAGCTTGCCCAGTAGTCATAATCCACGATGGGATGAAATTGAAGATTTGCCAACATATAACTTTGTAGTCTGCCGGCTCTGTCAGCCCTGAAGAAAACCACTTGATTGGCAAATGGT